GCCAGTCTGCAACGTTCTTATTCTACTTTCCTTCCCCCAGGGTTTTTCTGTTTTTTCTCTCTCATCTTCTGCATCTCCACACCCCACCATCCCTGAGTTCTAGCAAGCCAGTAACTATCTTAGGAGTATAATAAGCTTCTTTTTAAAATAATGTTACCTCCCCTATATTTTTCTCCATCTTTTCCATTTCTCCAGCTCTTTTTTGTTGTTGTTATTCAAACATATGCAGGGATATGGATTTTATCAAATTCCTTTAATTATAAAAACATAAATTAAAACATAATCATATAAAACATTATAATTATAAAACAACATTATAAACATGCAATATAAATTGCTCTACTTAAACAAGGCCTTTTTTCCAAGAGGTTTATTTTTTCTTAAATTGAACTCCAATACCTAGTGTAACTTAATCCATTGGCAATTCTTTTTGAAAACTGCCCTTTTAATGAGTAATTCCTTAAATCTACTTGAGGACATAATAATACCAGATCAAGACAATCTAATAACTGAAATTTCCATTTGCATTTGAATGGTATTTTTAAATGTAATAACTATGGGATCTAAAGATATATATTGCAAAGACTCCGTATGCCACTCCAAACATACAAAGTATTAACTATTCTGGAACTTCCCTAACTATGGTCTGATGTCTGTGTTTCCCCCAAATTCATATGTTGAAATCCTAACCTCTAAAGTGATGGTATTTGGAGGTGGGGCCCTTGGAAGATAATTGGGTCCAAAGAGTGAGACTCTCATAAGGTGTCCTTACAACTAGAGACATGACAGAGATGATCTCTCTACCTTCCATGTGAGGACAGAACAAGAAGCAGCTGTCTGCAAATTAGGCCCTCACCAGGAGCCCGATCATGTGGCACCCCATTCTTGGACATCCAGCCACCCAAGCTGTGGATATAAACATTTTATTGTTTAAGCCATCCAGTTTATGATATCTTACAGCCCAAACTAAGACATGAATTTTGACAATTTCTTTTTAAATTTATTTTTTGGACATCAGTATGATGACTCTATAGAAGCCACTAAGTAATTTTTTTTTGCAGCTGTCCCCAAAGAAAAAAAATGCAGTTGCTTCATGAAGGATCAAGATACTAGAAAATAAACAAGTTTCTTAAAAGAATAGAGAAGAGGTCTTTGTATACTGTTTGACTTCTCAATAAATAGCAAACTAGACTCTTCTAAGAACAAAGAGCTAAAAGTTTACCTTTCTTCCTTAGTCATTGCGAAATACATGGCATTTCTCAAGCATCCTCCTCACAGAAGACATTGCTCTTGCCAGACAATTCTGCAAGACATGCCACAAGAGAAACATCTGCTTTCCACATTTGGGACCCCTTCAGCCTGTTTCGCAACAGAAACCTCAACTAAGGCCAAACTGCTATAATGACAATCTCCAACACCACTGATGTGGCTCCAACATGGGATGAGCTGGCGGGGAGGACGGGCAGAATGAACTCATTCTAGGATGTGGTCTCAAATAAAATGTCAATTTCCCACAAGCAAAATCCTTTCAAAAAGAAGCCAGAACAATTTCAGTAGCTGAGAAAAAGCCATAAACATTCTGCTTTCCTCTTCTGCATTTCACAAACCCTACAGAGAAGAGAATGATCTGTACCCCGTAACAACTAAGAAAGCCACTCCCAATCAGTCTCTGAGAAAAAGATAAAATTATTTGTTAAGAATTGTATTGGTTTGCTAGGGTTTTCATAATAAAATACACAGACTGACTGGCTTAAAAAACAGAAATTTATTTTCTCATGGTTCTGAAAGCCAGATGATCCAGATTAAGTTGTTAGTAAGGCTGATGTTTTTCTGAGACCAACTTCTCCCAGTATTTCATGTGGTCTTCCTGTGTGTGTGTCATTTCTCATCTCTTCTTATAAGGAAACCACTCATATTGAATTAGGGTTCCTCTAGGTTCATCTTAGCTTAATAATCTCTTTAAAGACCCTCTACAGATATAGTCACATTGTACAGTACTAAGGACCTCAATAATATACTAGGTGCTAGGCACTGTATATAATAAACAGACTAACATTAACATCCAAAGGAAGCAGGATTAACTGGTTCAATTGTCTACACAAACACAAATCTAAAAAGAAATGCAGAACTACCATTGTCTTAGGAGGTCAGGAAATGGCACTTAGGACTGCGAAGCTGATTCACAATTAAAAGAGGGAGCCTCACTATTGTTGTGCAAAAAAACCCAAGTAGCACCCAGGGAACTCCAGGGGTCAACCACCTGCAGGGGCACTCAGCCGCTCAGGGTGGGCTGGCTGGCATGGCTGTGCTCTCTGGATGGTGCATTCCTCAATGGTGTGCTCACACTCCTGTTCTCCTTTGGTTCTTCTTTCAGTGATGTAGCATTGGGGACTCATTCTACCAGGCAAGGTCAGGTCAGTGGTTTGTTGTCTCCAAGAGTCCAGCTCTGTGACAAGTCTGCTGACTAACTGGGTTTGAACTTGGCAATAAAAAAATCACAGTCCCTTCAAAAAAAAAAAAAAAACTTCCTCAGACTTTACCTTGGTTCTCAAGTTTTGCATCTCCTTAAAGGAAACGTTTTAAGTGTCAAGAATGCCTCCCTTGTGTAGGGGATACAATACACCTTTTTAGTAATAAAATAGGTTCCCTTCTAATTTGCTATTCAAAAGGGGCCTAATTAGTTTTGCAGACTCATAGCTTCTCTTTGGAAATCTAAGAAGCTAAATGTTCTTGGCTCTCAGTTGAATCCTTTGTGTCTCTAGGCAACATTCCATATCCGAAGACTTTTCCTCAGACGTCATTTTACATTTTCTTGATCTATTACTGTATCTTTGAATACTATACAGAAGATAACACTCATTTCTCAACTGCCACTTGTCCCTACAGTTATTTTTGCTAGAATAAATTATATAATCTTGTTCTTTGCTCAGGCACATGAGAATATCATAGTGTCCTTAAGTGTTTAGAAGTTGAGGACAGCACACTTAAGAAAGAGCAGGGGAGACAGCCTTGCAGGGTCAGTTTGCCTTTAGCAAGAGGTGCCCATAGACTCAAGTCCCTAGGCATAGGGCAAGCCAAGCTCTCTTCTGAAATCTGAGACCTGAACTTTCTAAGGCTACAGGTTGTCATACAACAAGAACAAGTCATCCATCTGCCCATCACCAGTTCTTCATAAAAGAAAAGAAGCAGAACTTGTGTAGCATGCTTCTGGAATTGAGGAACAGATAAAGTGGAAGAAGACATTAACTTATCCAAGTACAGAACACAGGGCATACCCCTCCTTCAGAAATCACCGAACTAAAAAGCAGATATTAGTACAATTAGGTAGAGTTCAGACACCAAGATGGAGGAGATGGAAGGTTAGAAAGAAGCTGCGAGAGGACAAGACAAGAAGTCATGTCCATTTACAATAAATCCCATTACCCTGACAAGGCCAGGACTTATCACCATGACAATTCCTGCCACAGGTTAAAATTTTAAAATGATCCATGCAGGTAAAGTGGGTAGTATTCTAATTAGATTCTCCAAAATAACCAATGGGGGGTGGGGAATGGAAAATATTCTAATCAGATACTCTAATCAGAAAATGAGGTAAGGTCTTCAATCAGGTCCATATAGAGAACACCCCACAGTTCAGGATCTAAGACTGTAATATCCAGACACTGGGGCCTTGAGCCTCTCTCTCTTGCAAGGCCCACTCCACTCTACATAATGGAGCATTACCTTCACCTTCAATAAATCTGTACTATATCTGTTACTTCTGTGTGTCTTGCTCAATTTTCTGTTTGGGACACCAAGGAGTTGGACTTCAACTGGACATCCCAATGATAACAGTACTGTGCATGTATACATGAACTGTTCAGACACCTCAGATATAATGCCAGGAGGAAAGCAACGAGTGGGATAGCTGTGGTTGAGCATATTAGACACGGGGACTAGAGGACATTAGATAGGATTAGTTTTACCGGGTTGGAAAGAAATGGAGATCCAAGAAGAGACAGTAAAACTATTGGAAGAGTTGGGGTTGGGGGAGAGAAAGCTAGACTAGAATCAGCTAAGACCCCAAAGGATAAGAAAGGGAACTAAGCAGTGGCCAAGTATGGTTCATCAAAGCTAGGGCAACTGGCTCAGGATTTCCCCAGGTGCCTGGGAGCAATTTCTGCCAAGACTGAAGTTGAGCATGCAGAACTGGTGTTCATGTCCTCAAAGTAGTCAGCATTATCACTTTCACTTTTCTCTTTTTATATTTGTAGCTGAAGTTTTTCCACAATGTTTCCATTCTCAGGTTTTCCTCTAGCAATCTAATTTGATAAAAGTATACATAAAACACCCATTACTTCCATTTAATCTGCACCTTTTGGTCTAGTCAGTGCTTTCATTATCTAAGTCACAGACACAAATGCTACAGCAAGCCTCAGCAGTCCATGCCACTGTATTTAGGCCACCTCTTCTCTGTGCACTAAGGTAAACATAAATACTTCAAATTACAAGTATCTTTCTAAATTGTTTTCTTTTTAAATTTATTCTGTTTGGCTAAGTATTGTCAGTTATCTCATCATATGCCTCATGTTTTTCTCCCTGTCACCCCTTTTAACTTTTATGATAACAGGTTCTGATTTTAGCTGAGATCTTTTTGTTGCTGTTGTTCCTCTTCTAAGCTCCTCTGCTTTTACTCTTCTAAATCAAGTTAATAAACCCTCTTCTGTCCCAGGTCCTCTGACACCTGATCCCTGAGTTGAAGCCCGCCACCTCATATCCTACAATGATTCACTTCAGATATGACTCTCAGCCTGGGATTTGATAACACTGAAAACACAGGATGGGCTCTGCTGACTGCAGCCATGTTTCTTTTCACAGGAAAGCAAGAAACAGTTTGCTGTACAGACCACCTGCACACAGAATGTGTTTGGAATTACATTTTACATGATTTTTTTTTTTAATATAGCAAAACACCTAAAGGTCTGAACATGTATGCAGAGATCTCCATAAACACCAACCATTTTTTTATTTTTTTTTTATTTTTTGCAGCACAATTTATTATCTGGTGATAGTATTTGGGTACATTAATAGGTATTTGATTTAACACCATGTGACTTCTCTTGAGACAGAGCAACCCAAAAAAGAAAACTTCAAAATGTGCAAGAGCAATAAATATCAAACTTTCTGGTCTAAAATGTATAAATATAAAATATCAGTAATTTCTGGAAACATCTTAAGAAAATCCAGCCACCACATGTCCATGGGCAGATGTCTGGTGTTGATGGTGCTTATATTCGGAACATATCACCTCAGATCCAACACAGTTATTTTTATGTCTTTAACCAACACGTGTTTGCATATCTAGGAAAGAAAAAATTGGTTTTACATCATAATGTTTCACAGATGATTCTCTTTAGGGAGGAAGCGCAGATTTTCTAATTGAAAAAAATTTCCTAATTAAAAAAAATATTTCCAACTAGAACAAATATGAGGTTTTATTCATTTTCAACAAGAAAATATTTACAGATTGCCAACTAATTTCCATTTTAAATAAATTCTGAGCTCTCTAATGTTTCTCTAATATTGTAGCCATAGAACTTCTAAGCAAGCAGAAAGAAAAGATGTAGTCAAATAATGTATTTTGGGGCTGTACAAAGCTATCCAAAAGTACAATTACAGTTTTAATTGGTTATTAAAAAATGATTCATCCAAATGAAGCAGAAAGAATTCATGAGACACTTAATATCATTATTTTTGTAATAACCGTTTGCTTATTTTGACACTGAAGAACATGTTTCAACACCACACAAATAAACAAATATAAAGGTAACTTTATGCATATCAACCCTACTATGGAAATCCTAACATTTTGTTATAAATAAAGTAATAGAAGAAATCAAAGAAGTACAAGATTGGTTTTCTGCGATAAAGCTCTGAACTAAGCAGTATAGTGTTTCACTCCATATCACACTGCTATTATTTTTCTCCTTTAAAAGAGAATTTGGGTGGGGGGGATAATAACAAGAAAATACCTGCAAAAGTAACTAATACTGTGTACTCACACTGAATAGTCTAGGGTCCTTGGTGTGAGGATGAAAGCCCTTCTTCTTACAAGCAGAAACCTCAAGCATGCCAGCATTGGTGAGCCTGAAGATGCCAGTGCTAAATTTCAGGGTCAAAAAGAAAAAAAAAAAGGTATAAAATTCAGGACCACTCGGGATTTCCAGATGCTTTACTTCAGTGACACAGCATACATAGTCCCCAAATGGGACAGAGGAAGAAAACACAAAAAAGAAATTCCACTGTGGTTTTTCTAAACCAGTATTTCCCTGACTGGTCTAGAGGAGAGAAACCTACGAGGAAGTAACACCTTCAGGACCATAATGGGTCAGGCAGCTGTGCTGTTGTGTGAAAGATCAGAAGAAGATCCCCCCACAGAGGAAATTACAAGGGGGAGATATTTCTAATTTTTCTTATAATGGTATTTATAGCAACAGCAACTATTTATTGAGGGCTTGCTGTGGTGCTCAGTACTAGGCTAAGAACTGTACATACACCATCACCTAATATCACCTTCTCATCAATCCAGGATGGGCAGACACTCACAGGGGTCAGGTGTCTATCCTATGACATAAGGGTCAAGTAAGGACTCCAAAATACATTTGATTCCTATGACCATACTCGGCAATATCTGATCTCCCCAAACGAGGGACATTTTGGAGGTAATGAGCCTAAGTCTGTGGAATTTCTTGTGATAGGACATAATGCAGTAGAAATAGGTTCTTGAAAATCAAACTGCAAATAACAGTTAAGTGTTACCCACTTCAAGGTCTTATTAATCAAGGAAAGAACTAGGATTTTACCACTGAAAGGACCTTCAAAACCAAAGGCTGCAGAGATACTAGCATATAAGAGCCAGCTGCTACCTATTCTTTTCCCCAAAGACCACAAGCTATGTGTAGACACACATGGACCCAGGATCCCAAAGCCTTCCTTGGGCTCCCCTCCATAGTTATACTTACTCTTTATGCTTTGGTGAACAAACAATGGCAATAGCCTCTGGTAACATGAGCTGATAGGAACAGTGAGTGTGAAGATCAACGCTGGATAAGAAAGCAGTTTGGGTGGGATGTGTCTGTAAAACAGAAAGAGGACAAACTTATTAGGGCAGCTGAGGCTTAGCCAGGGCCATAGCCTATTCAAAAAAAAACAAAATTCGATTGATTTTTTTTTTTTTAATTTTACCATCATTATTCCAATAAGGATGTTTTTCCCTGTAAGGCAATGGGGATTGAATCCAGGGGTAGCTTAGTCCACCATGGAGTTACATCCCCAATCTTTTTAACTGTTATTTTGAGACAGTCTCACAAAGTTGCTGAGGGTCTCACAAAGTTGCAGAGGCTGGCCTCAAACTTGCAATCCTTCTGCCTTAGCTTCCTGAGAGATTATAGGTGTGCACCACTGCACATAGCCGAATAAGTATTTTTAAAAATATTTTGCTGACATCATCTTTCCTTTTATGCATTCCTATTATTTGCTTATTTGGAGTAACTACGATTTTGAGAAGTGGTTCCCAAGTCTGTTATCTACTTCCTTCTTGTTGGGAAAGAGCTAGAAAATGACTTGCCAGAGGATTTAAATAGATTATCATTTGATCAGCAAAACTCATCCATGATACTTATTTTATTATTTCAATTTTATGTATAAGAATCCTGAGACTCGGGAAAGTGTAGTAACCTGGTTAGTAGCTGGTAAGGACTGGAGACCTTGGACCACAGATACTTCTATGCAAAACCATGGAAGGAACCTGTTCACTGAATTTTCCACATTACTGTGTATCCTTTATGGATCACCATTCTCTGTAAACAGAAAGGTGGGAGTCTGTAGATTGTTGAAGGTGTTTGGGGTCATCATGCACAGCAACTGAATATTCATATTAAGAGAAAGAAAAGGAGAATGCAAATCAAAAGAAACCTTCCAAAGTTCCTGGCTAAATAAAAACTTTGGTTTATCAGAGGCAAGTGAGAGGTTCATATGTGAATAAAAAAATAAATGCATATATAATGACTTAAAAATTCACATTCAAACCTAATGACCCTTGAAAATGGAATATGACAATTTTATTTATGAAAAAAACGACTTTGATGCACACTGTCTGGGTCTTGGCTCCATGACTCACTTGGTAAAAGACACAGGGAAGATCACATAGCCTCCTCCTGCTCATTTCATCATTTATAAAAACGTATGAGAATCATTTTCTTGGTGGGGTTGTATAAAGATTAAATGGAATAATCCATGTAAAATTCTTAGAATAGTGCCTAACACAAAGAAAGGAGCCAAAGTCATTAGCTGTTATTATGACTCTGTTCTTGTTATTTTAATGTTGTCATTATTAACTAAGGGCACAGGCCCATAGTAATAGCTTAATGCCTTTACACAAGCAGGGTATGTGGTAGAAATGCAAGATTCAAAACTCTTCTCTACCTATTTATAGAATAAAGGTAAAATCACATGGTTATTTACAGAAAGATACACGTTCTGCAAGGAAAAATAATTCTTGGTCTATAAAGAATCACATAATTACCAGACTTTCTGTGTGTAGGTGTGTCTGTGGGCACATGTGTGTGTGCGCATGCATGTGCTACATATTGACCCCAGGGCCTCATGCATATTAAGCATGTGCTGAATCATTGAGCTACATCCCCAGTTCTATCCTAACTTAAAGAATCCAAATATTCAGTAGGAGCATGAATACAAGGTTTAAAGCCTATTATCTGGGAATGCTTTCTTTGAGTAACATAGTGTTTCCAATGTCTTGGTGAGAAAGTAAGTAGTCGTCAAAGGAACAATTGTGCTGTGGAGGCAGCAGTTTGTCAAACAGGCAAATCTCATTCTGCCCATTAACTTATTTTCAAGAATGTACCCAACATGACTCTCTGAGCCCTTCATGTCTGCCAACAGGAGTCACTTCTATCCAATGAGCACAGGTCTCCTGGGAGGGTGGTGTGGCCATTCCCTGAGTCCATGGAAACAACACTGATGATGATGATGATGATGATGATGGAGACAACGATAATAGCTGCAGATGCCATTTACAGCAACTGAATAATGTGCCAGGCACGGAACTAATCACTGACTGAGAATTATATCATTGAATTCTCACAATAACAAGACGAGATCAGTGCTGTCATTATTCTCATTTTATAGCTGAAAAAACTGAAGTAAGCTGGAGAGCAACTCCTTGAAGCTCATTAAGCTAGTCAAGTCAAGAAATCTAAATTCTAATCCAGGTCTGTCTGATTCTAATTCAGACTTTGTTTTCTATGACTAATTTAGATCTGAAAAAAAGATCTGGAATTGGTTACTATTATTATACTCCGTCAAAACCAGCATAAAAATGTTATTGCAATCATTGAGATTTAAAAATGTAACATATTCCTACTTTCATTGAATCACAATTTGATACAGAAAAATAAATTAAGTAAAAGTCCTAGAATTCTATAATTATGCCAAATTCATTACTTAAACAATCTAAATTCATTATGGCATGCATTCCATATACAGAAAATTATAGGGGAAAAAAAACATGTGCTTTTAATTTGGAAATTGCTTTAAATAGTCACATTAAGAGAAAGAAAAGGAGAATGCAAATCAAAAGAAATCTTCCAAAGATAAACTACTATTGACTTGTCAATATAATGTGTGGTTTAAAAGACTATCATTTTTAATTTGTTACAATTTCTATACTTCAATTTGTTTTGCTTTAAAGTACATTTTTGTACTTAGGTTAAGCTAAATATCAACTTTAAAACAGAGCAATTTTCAAGCACACAGCAAGGCTTTACAGGTAGAATGGGAATACAGTCTCCTCTGTGCTCCTAAATCACATAGTACCAAATACTTGACATGTGTCTGTGTATGTTGACCCTACTCAGTGCTTCTCTATAAACAAGAATACAAAATGATCACATCATTTTTCAGGGACTCTTGCCATCATCCAAGCTGTGCTCTGGAAATCTCAGCAAGCATAGGATGACTTGTCCACACACTATGGTTTGAATGATGGTGTTCTCTCCAAAATTCTTGCTGAAGCTTAGTGTAACAGCATGAAGAGGTATGGCCTTTGGGAGGTGACTATTAAGTAACAGCATGAAGAGGTATGGCCTCTGGGAGGTGACTATTAGCATACTTCTAAAAGGGCTCAAGGTTGAAGGGAGTGCTATCTTGCTCTTCTGCCTCTAACATGTAAGGACCTAACATCAAAGCACCATCTTAGAAGCAGAGAGCAGCCTCATCAGATTCCAGTACTGCCAATACCTTGATCTTGGACTTTCCAGCCCCTAGAACTATTAGAAAGAAATCTCTGTTCCTTATAAATTCCTCAACCTCAGATATGTTGTTATAGCAGCATGGATGAATTAAGACAGTATCCCAGGTCCAGCTTAGGAGACCAAATGGAAAAGACAGAAAAATAAAGTATCATCACCAATAATAACAGTCACAATTTTTTCTGAGCCCCTAGAAAAATATGCTAAGGAATTCATTAAGGATGAATCCAATTATTATGATCCCTATTTTATGGATGATAAAATTGATGTTCACATTTCTTAAGGAACTTGCTGAAGTTCCCACAAGTAAATTCTTAGCAGAGCTGAGATTTAAACTCATGTTTATTTGATTTGCAAACACTTTCCTGCTCCTATGACGGCCTTGTGGATGGTAGAACCCAATGTTCTTGGTCCTATCCATTAATCCGATTCCATGGCTGTTTACACTGTGATATTTTCTTTCCTGCTCCCAGTCTTTCTCTCTCTTCTTGACCTATAGGGGCAGTGCAGTGAAGTGAATGGACCCTATCTGATATATACAAAAGCTGCTTAAATGAAACATCTTCAGAATTTTTTTTAGATAATCTAATGTAAACCCATAGAAAATATTGTAACTGCTTAGTCAAATCTATAAAAAAAAAAAAAATCTGACTAAGCCTCCATTAGACTATGTGAAATCATCAGAAAGAGTCACCTAATTTCCAAACGTTTTAGGTTTTCTTTCTCAACTATGGATGATACAATAAATAAATAAATAAAATACCCCTCTTCAAATCCCAATTTGAGCGGGCTATGGAGGCACATGCCTGTTAATCCCAGTGGCTTGGGAGCTTGAGGCAGGAGGATTGGAAATTCAAAGCCAGCCTAAGAAACTTAGCAAGGCCCCAAGTAACTTAGAGAGACCCAGTCTCAAAAAATAAAAAGGGCTGTGGCTGTGGCTCAGTGGTTAAGCACTTCTGGGTTCAGTCCCCAGTACCAAAAAAAAAAAAAAAAAAATCCATATTTGACAGATTTATATACAGCCTAACACTGAATTAGATGCTTTAATATAATAGCATTTATTATACTTAAAAAATACAAATAAGCTATTTAAGTAAAACTAAATTTCTTCAAAGAGGAAAATAATATGCCTTACAAAATAAACTGAAATCCAACAAGTCAAACATACATGGATCCATCCCAAAGTGAGGAGATCGTGTTGATCCTGAACACTGAATAATTCTTCTACATTCTCCACATCACAATAGTCTGGCCCAGCAGACTGCTTTGGCACGATCACGTGGGTAATAGTAAATTCATTATGTGTCTGAAAGACAATTAGTAAAAAGAACAGTAAATAGTAAATAGGAAAAAATGGGAAATGTTTTGCCACAAGACTAAAGCTTTCCCTTACAACCTGGCTCCCCCCTCACCCTATACACTCCATCACAATTTAAAATGTCCCAAATATAAAAGTGGATTTTTTGCCCCAAGTTTTGAGAGCCAGTTGCTTAGAACTTGAAACCCACTTTTATAGTAGCAAATCTATTATAAATAGAAAATACCCTTCTGGGAAGTGGGGGTCCAGGACAATTTAGTTAATAAATAATATCTTGACAGATTTACAATGGATAAAATCAGAACAAAATAAGGGCAGGTTTCTTTGGAAGGAGAGATGCTAGTTAAATAATTTTGTAGTGTTACTAAAGTGCATTTCTAAGAGTTATGCAGATTGATGGTTTGGGTTTTATTTTATTAATTATATTTAATTTCTCTAAAAAACTTATAAACTTTCTTCTAGTATTGAGAAGACTCACTATTATTTCCACAATGAAAATAATATTTTGGCTTTCACAGTTACAGAATAAAAGATAAATTATCCCCCTTAGGTAAAAGATAAGAGCTGAAGTGAGGCTCCCAGGTGGTGAGAGATCCTCAGCCAGAGGCCCAGAGTGCAGAGTCACTGGTGGTGAGAAGCTGTCTTGCCCAAGGCAGGTTGGCATGTCCATCCATCCCCAGCACTATCCTCTCCCTAGCCTTAGGACCTTCCTGCCAGTTGGGCATTGCTCCTTCTGCCTTGATTACAACTGTTCCTTCCATTCTACCCAGTCCTTTCAGGGCTGTTGGATTTACTCTTCAGGCCTAGCTTCAAAATCACTCCTCAGGGAAGCTCATCTCCACATCCCTGCCCACAAGGTCAGGTTCCCCAGTTACACATTCCCTTGATAGCCAGCGCTTCCATCAAGAGCACTCAGCCCCACTTAGTCATCTGTCTGATTCTTTACAAGCAGGGACCAAAGCTGTTGCAGGCTGCTGAATGAATGCTTAGCACAGTGCTGGCACATACACTTAGTAAATGTCTGAGGCAGATGGAATGAATAATGAATGAATGAATCAACCAATCAATCACACCAAATACAACATAAGATGTAGGAGAGGAAGCTTCCACAGCCCTCAACCCCCTGAAGGACAACCAAGGTGACTGTGGGTGGGAAATGATGGTCACTCACTGCTCATCACAGGTGGCTTCCCCTTTCCTGGTGGAAAGAGATGATTAAACACTGGAAGTCAGCAGGAGGATGAGAGTTGAATAAAACATATTGTTCAAGCAATAATTTTGAGGACTGAAAATGTGCCTGCATCCAGAAATTTAAACTGATACCCAGAGGAAATTACAAAAAAATGCTTCCAAAGACACATTGCTCATCTTTGTTGTGGTAAGAAACCAAACCCATCCTCGCTTAGCTCCTTCTATTTTGACATTGCCCTTTATCACATACTTCTGGTAACATTTCCATAATAAAATAGAGCCACTGCTTATAGATCTTGGTTTGCCAAAACTATTGCCTTAAACCAAAGAAAACAACAAAATTCCAGTTTTATTCCACATGTATCTGAAAAACAATGGCAGGGTACCTGCCATAGATGAGAATAGGTAGAAAGTCAATTATATGAACACAAGTGAAACTAATGATGGTAAAGGAAATATGATGTAGCAAACAAGATGAATCTGGAAATCTGAATACTTGTGATCTTCTATTAACAAAGATTTAATTTATGGCTTGGTAAATTATTTCAAACAGGCCTTTATGTAGAGCCCCTGAAATTTTCCAATCCATTTTCTCAGATTATTCCATGAAAAATGGTTGTATTTTTAGGAGATTAATATTTTAAGGCTAATTTATTATATTTACAGCTCTTAGCATGTTTTTTATTCTGCTCTGCAGATCACAAGAAAGCCCTACTACTATTTGAAAAATCATGTGCAGATAGATCTAGAAAAAAAAAAAAAACATACCAGCTTTCCACAAAGTATTCCACAGGTTTCTATTCCTCTTATGGTATTAGATTCAGCTAACAGCAGAAATTTGTGGCAAAGATCTCTTGATAAGACTACACATCTCAGTCCTTCAACCACTAAATCTAAGATACAAAAAAGGAGAAAAAAACGAAATACAAATCTTCACTTTCCATGTTTTGTTTAAAAACTCTTAAAACATTGATTAGAAGAAAGGTAAAATTACATTTCCTACATAAATTATTTTATAAACAAAATAGTAAAGTGCAAGTACTTGTATATTTTTGTGCCCTGGAAAAACTATCTTCCATGAATGTGTATGTTTCTTTTGGCACACAGCAAATATACCATTAAATAGATAGGATGTAGAAAATGCATCTTGTACCTTATAAGACATGGTATTAATATTCTTTTTTAAAGATTTTTTTTAAGATGAATGCAATATCTTTATTTATTTATTTTTTTTAATTTTTATGTAGTGCTGACAATCGAACCCAGGACCTCACATGTTCGAGGCCAGCGCTCTACCACTGAGCTATAACCCCAGCCCCTGGTTTAATATTCTTTAATGTATTTACTATAAGTTGCTTATGTCCTAATGAAAATTGGTAAGCAAAAGCACATTTTTAAAAATGATCAGCAGCAAAGTAGCTAATTAAATAGTTGCCTATCATAACACTCTGAAAATGAGAACAGAAACTCATATCTGACAGTGTCTATCAGGAAGAGATCTCTTTTGATTTTAGAAACTTGCCAGCACTGATCTAACAATACTAAGCAGCACTAACTGTTGGCAGAAATGCATATGCCGTTTGGATTTTAGCTGTTTATGTGTATGAGACCCTCTCAGCACAGGGATAAGGCTGAACATCCCTGGAATTAACATTTTATTATTGAGCAAAAATCTGGATAAGAGATTTACTCAGCAGCTTCCTTTCTTCTCTGGGTAAGCGTTTACCTTAAAAACATATGTGCTTCTTGATTAAAACACATGGAAGGAAAAAAATGCTTGGAATTCTCAAAATTCAGTCCTACAGAGTTTGCCCTATCATTGGGCATGTTTCCTGAAATTTAAAGGTAATATATAGTAAATGTCAGAGAGTGCTGAAAGGGTCATCTGCAATTCACACCATTTAATATAGGGATCCTACCACAATTAGTAATAAAATAAAGAGAGACCTTCCAAGATGCTACAGAAAAATGGTTCCATCAGGGAGCATCAGAGTCTTTGCAGGAAGCATGTCAGCACTTACTCTGAACAGCACTTAGAGTAGCTGCTGGCTTTAAGGCTCTATTCACAGGAGGAGAGTGGCTAGCATAATTGGTTGCATCACTTTTATTAGCTTGATCTGCGAATACATTCAGCAAGGAATTGTTCTGGTGTGCAGAAAAGCAGGACAGAGCACTTCCATCAATCTGCTCTGACAGCGAAGGGGTCTCCTGACTTCGCATCTGGCCTCGGGCTAACTCTTGCTTTTTGAGTTGATCTTCAAAAAACAGAAACTGCTCCGATTCCAGCTGTTGCTGGCGCATCTGAGCAATACGCCTCCTTTCAGCCTCTATCAATCTCTGATGCTCCAGCTTTTTGAGAATTTCGGCTTTATATTTGTTCTAAAAATGTGGATGCCATAAGAAAAAAAAATAAGTTAGTTCTCAAGACAAAACAAAATCATCAAACTGGGATGAGACAGCTTGATACCCTCACAAGGACACTCATGAAACACTAAGAAAAACACACATCACAGCAAAAGCCCCTTAATCTGATTAAGACAGCTGTTCTAAACCTACTTGTATTTTACCAGAGACAATCAGTTTCTGCCTTTCCCCAGTGCTTCTGAATATTGGAAAATCAATGTCAGGGTTGTTGACTCAGCTTGACTGGCCAGACCATATGGAACAAAATATCTCACCTCTAGATTGTATTGCTCAATCTAGTAGCCATTAGCCACATGTGATTATTAAAATTTAAATTATTTGAAATTTTTTAAAAATTAGAAATTCAGTGTCTCAGTCACACTAGTCACATTTTAAGTACTCCACAGTCATATGTGACCCATAAATTGGTCAATTTCTTCTTTTGATGCCTGTCTGTCTCTTAGATATCATTATCATTTTCACTCTTTATTTAATAATGATCCAGGAAAAACCACCCTTTGGTGCCATGATTACATTATAGCCACAGGGTTAGCTGCTCTATCTACAATGTAATATTGACTGTAATGATTAAGAATCAAAATTACATTTCCAAAACCTTTATAATTAGATACATCAGAAACCACACACTGTTCCCTCTACTTCCTACTGCCTTTGTTCATCTGGAAAAAAAAAAAAACCAGCCATCTGGCTCAAGGTTACATTGGCAAAAGTTGGTCAAAAGCGCTATTTAAATCTCTGCAGCAAATCTATTTTCTAATGCACTGCTTTATTAGATGTTGTAGGGAAAGAAAAATACCACATCTTTGGTGAGAGTGCTTAACTTGGACACCAACATAAATTTTTTACTGATTTCACATTACTGCATCTTTAATCTTTAATTTAAATGCTTATGACATTTGGAAAACATATACAAGTGAAATTTTAAAAAAAATATGCAAAGAAAACAGTCATGAAATAAATGTAGCAATTGAACTTACTTTGCTTTGCAAATATTCTTGGTATTCTACATTATATTTCTTTAAAAGGTCCTTTTTCAATTCATCTGTCCTTGGGAATGCAATCTCCTTCAGTTTCTTTTAAAAATATATATACATATTGATTAGTAGGATTTTCAGTACGCTCGTTCCAATCATTAGCTGAGAAAGAAAAGCAGCTGGCATGTGTATTAGAAATCAAGACAAGAATAACCAAAGATAATGGCAGAAAAATAAATTTCTCCATTCTAGGGCTCCAAAATATAACTTTCAGCAGGGAAGTTTTAAAAAAAAAAGAATATATATATATTCCTTTGTTAGACTATTGACTCCATTGGTTAGATACATACTTGTTTAGGCAGGTGCCCCACTTTTTAAGGAGTAGGTAGAATCACACATTTTATATGTAAATCATGCAGCATCATAGACATTGGAGGATGTTTGATGGGTAGAGATTCCTAGACATGTCAGAGTGTAGAAGGCAGCTGAGTCACAATTCATAAGAATATATTTTAGTGCCTAATCATAAATCTACAGAATTAACATAGAGAAAGGATTGCGAAATCTGCATTTCAAACAACTTCCCCAGTGATTCTTAATGGCAGGAGGATCTGGGAAACCTGATATGGTCTAATCACTACTCTCCTTTTGGAGATGAGGAAACAAAGGCCTGGGGAGATTGTTGAGGGTCAGAAAACCAGCTAGTGGTCCAGTTAGGACTAGAACCCAAGTCTCCTGCCTCTAGGCAGGCTCTTCCACCAAAATTTCTTTTCTTGAATCCATTGTCATTCAATTCATTCATTAATTCACCCATTCATTCACCTATCCATTTATTTAACAAAGGCATAAACAAGAGAAATGTACAGAAGTTTTCTCCTACCAATAAAATGTGAACAACCCTCCTTTAGAGGAAAAGAGTCACCTTGGCAGCCTGGGACTTTTGGTTTCCATACAAAACTCTCTGAGGCTAAATGAGCTGAGGGGAAATGCTATATGAAGACACGATAACATAGTGACTATAAACATTTTAAAAAATGTAGATAACCATTTGACAAAATCTGAGTTCTGCTTCCAGGTAGCCTCAGGCTTCATAGGACTGGTAGGAGACCCTTTATTCCATAATGTGATAACATAATTTTCAAAAGTCATCTAAACATTTCATGCTGTGATTGCCTTTGTATACATTACTTTAATTCCTTATAAGAGCAACACAAACCATTTAGGAGGAATAAATGGGAAACACTGTACATGTTTATTCAAAAGGATACATTCTCAGCTTAAGATATTAAAGTGAATGTTTATGATAAATGCATTGCAACGATCTTTCTTTTCCTTGAGAATATTTAAGGCAGACCACCCTGTCAACATTTTATTTTTTAAAATATTTTTTAGTTATAGATGGACATGATATCTTTATTTTATTTATTTATTTTTATGTGGTGCTGAGGATCAAACCCAGTGCCTCACATGTGCGGGGCAAGCACTCTGAGCCACAATCCCAGCCCCAACATTTTATTTTGCATAAGACCAGTTCTCTAAGAGGTAAACAGTCATGTGCCAATTATAGATGGAGACACATTCTGAGAAATGTGTCATTCAATGATTTTGTCATTGTGTGAACATTATAGAGTGTACTTACACACAAACTAAGGCAGTTATGACATCACTAGGCAATATCACTTAATGGGACCACTGTCACACATGTGATCTGTGATGGACTGAAGCATCATTATGCAATTATGACTGTGGCTAGAACTTTGTGGCTGCCTTAAAAATCAATGTTGATTTTCAAATAGTTGGGTTCAGGGCTGTACAGATTAATCAAAACACAGGGAAATATATAACCATTCTCTCTATCTCTGAGAGGAACTGTAAAATAATTCCTTCAACATGTCAGAAGGTGATTGAGCACATTCTTTGTCTTTCTTTTCTCCCCAACATCAATTAGAGACCTCACACTGGCTCAGTCATAATCATTAAATGTCTAAAAAGAAATCGAAACATCATGCCTAATGGAATGAATTTCTTGTGCTCAAACTCTCCAGAGGAAGAGATGGGGAGGAACAGAAACAGGAGGGAAATCAATAATGGATACTTATGGAGCATTTGATCCCACAGCAGAGAATCGATCCCACAATACCTTCATAATATCCTGCTTTTCAGGCACTGCACATTGTTGGTAATCTCGGTGGCTAGGAAGCTTTTCTACAAACAAGCTAGAGAAAGAAAAAACGTATCCTTAGCATTATATAAAAGCAAAAGCCCAAAGACAGTGTTACGGTTACAGTGTTACAGACTTTTAGTGTTCCACAAAAAAAGCTCATGGTTTGAAAGCATGGTCCTCATTATCGCAAGGTTCAGAGGTGGGGCTTGTAGGCAATGATTAAATGATGAGAGTTACAACCTTATCAGTGAATAAATCCATTTGATGGATTAACAATTTGAATGAACTACTGGGTGGTAACTGTAGGCAGACAGGGCGTGACTGAAAAAACTAGGTCACTAAGGGTGTGCCTTTGGGAATTACACCTTGTCCTTCCTCTCTCTCTCTCTCTCTCTGTCTCTCTCTCTCTCTCTCTCTGCTTCAGCCTTCCTCCACCAATCCTTCCACCATGATGCTCTGCCTCACCTGAGGCCCAGAGCAAATGGAGTCCAGTGAACATGAACTGAGTCTCTAAAGCTGTGAACCCCAAAACAAACTTTTCCTCCTCTAAGTTGTTCTTGTCGGGTATTTTGGCCACAGTAATGAAAAGTTGATTAACACAGATGGGAATGAGCATCCTTTTCAAAAATGACATGCTTAGTAACTTATCATTTAAAGTACAGACTTTTCATCTACCTTCTCAGTAAAGTTGGCATGGTTATTGTTTTGGCATTCTGGAGCAGTTAGACTCAGCAAATTAAGGACTGAGGCTAACAGGGTCAGAATACATTACTCCCTATATAGACCAAGTCACTTTGGTCTTTCCCAGGCCCTGGACACTTGATCCCACGAGAGCCCCATCTTTCTCATGTGTGTAAGAGTTTGGAAATATATAATCCTTTCTCACCCTTGAAAAAGACTCAACCAACCGCTCGTGAATCAGTAGCACCATCATGTATGAATCAAAACTCTTAAACTGAAAACCCAAAACTAAGAGAAATGACAACCTAAATCCCTAGTTGGTTGGGAGGTGTTAATTAGTAGTTAATTATTTGTCACCTCTTTTGGAGGAACAAGATACAGCAGAATTGAAGGTAAATTCATGAAAACCAGGTACACAGCTCTCAGATAAAGTGAAGATACTGTTTCCACAAGGGTGGGAATACTTTTTTGTGCACTGATGTGTCCCCAGCCTGAACTACAGTTTATAATAGTTACTGAATAAAAAATTGTAACATTATCACAATGGGCTAGAAATGTAATTTTTGACCAACCATTACGTGGTATCTTGCAATTACTGATTCTATTGTTTACAGATCACATATACATATTTATCAACTCATTTCATCTGATTACAAGGCTATAGGGGAAAACAGGAATGGTAATATCCAATTGTCAAATGATAAAATTAAGACTTACAGAAGCTACAAAAAAGTTGTTAACTGCCTAAAACCTTATAAACAGAGTTAAATTAGACATTGAGAGCTGGAGGAACCTCAGAGATTTTCTTCCATTAAGTTCTTCATTCATAGATGAGGCAGTGAGGTTCAAGAAGCATAAGTGAAGTACAAATTATTGCACTGCTTATACTATAATTCAAGCATTCTAATTACTCAGTAACTCAAGGAAGGAATAGTGGCTTTTCCTTCTCACCACACTTGTGATTCCATAGGACTGTGTATAAAATGGAGAAAGTAAAATAAATATTATTCATTGGTAACATAGTTCAGAAACAAATATTTCTGGCAAGTCCTGGTTGTCAATGGTGGTAGGGAACCTTCAATTTCATAGTTATTGCTTATCTTTAACTCAGGTAGGGCAAAGATTTCCAACCACAACCATTCCTTAAATTTCCAAGTTAAATTCTATAGTTCACTAATGTAGAAATTTATAGATTATTATGTAAACCACTTTGAACTTTGCCCTTGGTAGAATCATGGAAAACAGTTTTAAAATATTTTCTTTTCAATTTCTGAAATGTTTTTATGGTAAGTCCCCAAATAAATTTGTGAAATTATAAGGTAAAGAAATACAAATGATAAAAAAAGAAAAGAAATACAAATGATCTACAGAGTCATTATATACATGATCTAACTTATATGTGAGATTTTAAAAAGTCAAACTCAAGGAAGCAGAAAATAGAACAGTAGTCACCAGCAGTTGGAGATATGGAGGGAGTTAGGAGGTGCTGGTCAAAGGATATAAATTTCAGTTAGGAGGAGTAAGTTTAGGAGAGCCCATGTTCAACATGGTATTCATGTACTGTATAATTGGGAATTATCAAGAGAGTAGACTTTAAATATTCTTGCTATAAAAAAATGGCATTTGAGGTAATGAATATGTTAATTAGCTTGATTTAGTCATTTCACAATGCATATATATATATATGAACAGCCCTTTTCTGTATTATATTTAGAGACAGGGTCTCACTGAGTTGCTTAGGGCCTCGATAAGTTGCTGACCTGGCTTTGAACTTGAGATCCTCCTGTCTCAGCCTCCTGAGCCTGTGGAATTACAGGCATGCACCACTACACCGAGCTAACAGTAGATCCTTCTAACAATTAAGTCACTAAACCTGTATGAAAACTCAAAATCCCATTTCTGTTACCTCTTTTTTTAAATATTTTTTTTTAGTTGTAGATCAACACAATACTTTTTTTTTTATGTATTCATATGTGGTGCTGAGGATCGAACTCAGAGCCTCAGATGCACTAGGCAGGCACTTTACCACTGAGCCACTACCCCAGACCCTTTCTGTTACCTCTTAACAAGGACATGTTACTAACAAATATCCAATGGGGACATGACATTTTTACAGGGATGGCTATTTCGAGGTAGCCACTTTCATTCAACCTTTTGAATACCCTTTTATACATACAATTCTTACACAGCCCAATTGCCTTTTCTTTAAACAAAAAAACTAAGGACTAAATGAAATGACTGTATCCTTACCCTGAACCACATCTTTCCTAAGTTCCCCAACTTGTCCCCTAGTCTCAACTCACCAAATCAAATTTTAAAAACTCTGATGGCATGTTCCAGGTGCTATGGATGGAGCTATACTACAGTTCCTCCTCTTAGAAACCTTACATTCCAGTGAGGGAAGAAAGGCATGAAACAAGAAATGTTACTTTTGAAAAGTGAGACATTCAGGTTTCCAGGCTGGCCTACGGAAAACCTGATGGCTCCCATCTAAGTCTCAGAGGTGTCTAAATGTCTTTCAGTAAACTTGTTACTAACTTTAAAACCTGGACATTTAATGTTTTTGCAAATAATAAAACTGGTTTGAATGTGAAAATTTCCTGGTACCCAATCAGCCACATCAAAATATCATGTAAGTATTTTTCCAATTTTCTTATTTTAAAGGCCTCCAACAAGACTTACGTTATAAATTTATTATAAAGAACAAAGGCATTTTCCAAGTTTCCTTCTTCCAAATACACAGATGCCATCCTCTCCATTTCTACTCCAGACCTGAAGTAGCGGCGTGGGGTGATGTCTTCACTGATGGTGATATTACAACCCAGCTTACTGAGGGCCCGGACTCGCTCTTCCGGGGTTAGGGAGACATCTGTATGGTCAGGCATGGCAGCTAACTTTTTCTGCAAAGCAAAATTGAAGTTTCTGATTATAATAAGAAATGAATATGACTGATTAGCAGATGTATTTTCTATAATAAAAACTGAAACCAAGAACTAAGGGTATTTTTTCATAAGAGTTAAAGATGTGAGCCTGGCACAGTGGTGCACATCTGTGACTTGGGAGGCTGAGGCAGGAAGACCACAAGTTCACACCCAGACTGTGCAACTTAGTAAGACTCTGTCACAAAATAGAAGATAAAAAGGGCTGAGAACGTAGCTCAGTGGCAGAACATCCCTGATTTCCATCCCCAGGACCACACACACACACAAAAAAAAAAAAAAAAAGAGCAAGAGAGTTAAAGATATGATCAAAACAAAATCTTTTTGCACCAAAAAACACACATCCAGTGTAAACATACATTTTTATTGGAGTAAGATTTCTTTTTCAGTTTCAAGGTACAATTATGCAGCAGTTCCTAGGTCTGCAAATATTTCATGTCATGTGAGGTAAAATACCATTGACCATCAATATACCTGGATATTTATATCCAGGTCATGCTGAGCAGGACCTGAGAGGAATTCCTGCCGTTGTAGGACTCATATCATTCTATCCTGAAGGATCTGAAGGAGGTAGCTTGGATTCAAAATTACTATGAGGATTTGATCTATTCCAGAATATATCTACTTTAAAAAGAAGCTTCCAGGGTCTCCCAAACATCTTCACTTAATAAAAAGAAAACAAACCAACCAACCAAAAAAAAAAAAAAAAAAAAATTCCAATAAGTCCAACAAAAGCCTTTCCAAGCATTAAGAACCCCATCTCCATGTTGGTAAGTATAAAAAATTTAGAACTCCACATGAGAGCAATTATGCTGCTAATCAGTCCTTGACCAAGAAAATAACATACCAAATTACTAAAAAAAAACATATATTAATTACTATATTTGAATTTTATTAATAAATATATTTCTATCTAGAAATGCATATAGTAGGCATATTTAGGATAATTACTCAATTATTCAATAAGAAATTTGAGCTTGGGAAAGGCAAAAAAAAGAAAATTTTTTTCTATTAAGGGCCCTTTGCAACTTGAATTCATATCTCCCAATGTGAATGCAGCCATAAACAATAAGATAGAACTGAACCTGGCTGTATTCCAGGCAGTGAATTTAGCTGTGAGACCATACTTGATCTCCACAGGCTACCAGAGTGTCTGAAGGCCTGGTCCATACAACAGCAGCATCAGCTGCAAACTGGGCCTTTCTTTAAAATGCAAATTCCTAACTGGCCCCACTTGCATCTAAAACCTCAGGATCTCAGAAAGTGGACCAGAGAATATATGTTTTAACTAGGTTCCCAGGGGAACTTCCGCATGCTCCAATCTAGATCATTCTCCCATTATTTCATGCACCAAAACAGAGCTAACCCAATGCAAATTTAGCTGCCTGAGGCCTCTTTGGTCTGTTAAGGGTAGGTTGTAAGTCTGACTGTAGTGTGGGCAGAGTATTTGACGAATATTTGTAAAATGCTATGAAAGAAATCAAGGTAGAAACCATTTAGTTATGAATTACTGATTCAACTTTCATGGGTAGAGTGCAATGGATTAGACTTTTGGAGTTTTTCCAATGCCATTTGGTCTACTTTGGTGTTAATTTTATAGCAAATAGAACTCCAGGGATCTGAAATGACTCTTGCTTCTAAAGGCTTAATATATAACCAGAGAGCCATAAACTTGCTTCTCAAGGTTCCATAAATCAGAAGCAGGCCTTGCCTTTCACATCTGCTGTTACTCTTCTGACCTGCCCTGGAACATGGTGGGTGGAACCTCTTTCCCGATCTTTCTTCCCCAGGGAAGCTATTGGGGCCTGAGCTTCCTCTCCCTGAGGGTCTACAGCTCCCTTTTCAGTGGTAGAGTTGATACACCTGGTCAATTTAAGGCAGAAGCAGTAAGAAGAATCTCCCACATGCTCTAGTGGAGAGAAAACTTCTGATCCAAGTTACTAATAATAAAGGGAACATGCAATTTTGATCCTCACCTGGTACTTTTTAATCTATGATTACTTGGTCAGAATTCTAAAAGGTATGACTGGCAGTGACACCAAAACTCAATCCCTTCCTAGCATCATGTCAAATTAAAGCATACTTCCTTCAATAGATAACAGGTATTGAAATATAATTAGATAGCGGGAATTAGTTCTAGTGTTCTAAAGTAAGGTAACTATAGACTATTATTATATATTTCAAAATAATTAGAAATGAAGAACCCAAAAGTACCCAGAAAAGTGTCACAGAAATGATAAATATTTAAGGAGATGAAAATGCTAATTACCCTGATTGTATCATTATCCCTACTTCAATTGAATTATCAAACTATACCTTATAAATATGTAAAAATATTCTATGACAATTAAAAAATAAGGTACAAGTACTTAAAAAAACACACACAATTATTTTGATCCACACCCTGTTATGCTGTTCTTTTAATCTCTGAAGAACATGGCAATTTCAGAGAAACTCTTGGAGGTTTTCCCATATCAGAGACAGGAACCTGAAACTCAGGGAGTGAGTGTGCAGAGGCTTCCAACTGAGATGTCTCCAACACTATTGCAATCCACCCACTTCCCCTAATTATACTCACTTATAAAACTCAACAAATGAAAATACTGTTATTCAACCACAGATAATTGCCTCTATGACATCACAAAATAACTGGGGGAAAAAAACTATAAAAATTAGAGCATTTTCTAAATGGGGTTTCTGGTTTCCCATACGTGTAAGAGTGATTTGCCCACATTCATTACTGTACAGTCTGCCGAGTCTTAGTTATATCTGTATAAATGTTTCCCTTCAAAACTCCTTGGAGTTTTAAAAGGAATCATTTTCCATTCATCTCTGTTCCCTAGGATGAGGCATATTCCCTGAAGCAGAGCTGATAAATCCATAAATGTATAAAATAAAACAGAAAAAGTGGGGATGGGGTTATCAGTCAGTGGCAGGTAATATGCCTAGTACACATAAGACCCTGGGTTCTATCTCTAATACCAGAAAAGCAGGAAAAAAAGAAAATGAGAGACAGACAGAATAAGAAAGCAAGGGAGAAGGAAGTGAGGAAGACAGAAAAGGAAGTAACAAAGCTATTTTTAGATTATCTTTTTCCCTAAAGATAAAAATAAAATTGATCTATATAACGTTTGGAAAAAGCATCCACTATGAGGATGATTCCTTCCTCTGCAAAGATGGACATGGGGCAAACCTTTATTATTCCCAACACAGGGTCAGCAAATAAGTTCCTGCAAAGTAAGTCCTTATTTCTCAAAAATGCTCTGAAAATAACTAAGCCTCTGTGAAGGACTTTCTTGAGGTTGAGAAAAAACATTAGGTCACAACCTATTTTGATGCAAGATCCAGGCCTTCTATTTCACTGTTTGGGTGTGATGGGGTGTTAGCACACTGTTGCTTACAGGGCTACTTCTATAGGGTTGCCAGGCATGGGTAGCGAAGAGAGTCAGGAGTAAAGTAAGTATCACTTCCATCTATCAAGCCATCGTGGTAGGCTGGGAACATGGAAAATATTGTCTACAATTTTCATAAGGCACAAATAATTTTCACAGAGATTATACACACTCTTCTAAGGTATTGCCAGAGAAGTATGTGTATTGCTGAGCCATAAGGGAAAAAGTGAGAGGAAGAAGAGTTTCAAGAATGCAGATATTTACACGAGGATCCCAAAGCAAAGCTGGAGTGTTAAATCAAATATGTTTTCCTCAGCTATTAGCATACATGGTAAGACTCCCAATTTTCATCTGTAAAGAGACGGAGGCACAAAGAGCTTTAACCGCTGTGATACCACTCTCAAGTTCTCTTCAGTGTTTTTCCAAAGGACTATACTGGTAGAATCTACCTTAATTAAAAATTTTATACTTTTGTAGTGAAAAAAAAATTATTTTTAAGTCTTGTGAAGATGGCTTTATTAGTCACTTCCTCAAAGGAGACTGCTGGCCGCACAGATGCATGAAAAACTACAAGTGCTGAACTTCTTAAAGCAACTGTGACTCACTTCACATTTGTTTGGGCCCGTTTCTGTTCTTCATTTTGGGTTTTCCAACCATATGTAAAGCATCAGTTGCTGCTACCTACCAGAGAATTCAGAGTAAATGGCTGTTCCATGTTGTTCTGTCTACAAAAAGGGAAGGTGTTCACTGTTTCTTCTCAATCACTTCATCTGTTTCAAAGACAAAAGCAGAGCTAAGGTTATTTGTGGAGAACCCAAATCCCAAATTCCAAATAACATGTTCAAAAAAACATCAACACATTGAAATAATTTACATAACCAGAGTGTTTAGAGAGGCTTTTGGAAATCTGGTCAGGAAAATACAAAATCGTAGGCGGTTATGTTTTCTTGAAGCTGTACATTCAAAGTGGAGGTGTGAAGGGAATTAATATTTGATGAGCACCCAGGACGAAGCTGCTGGGTGTTATTTTATTTAGAACCCTATGCTTGGATATAAAATAGGTTCAGTTTCTTCAAAGGAAGAAAGAAGAATTTCGTGGTTAACAGCATGAACTCTGGGGCAATGGACTCTTTACCTAGGTCACAGGGTCTAAACTCAGTTTAGAGTTGTGGTAGGCAGGAGTCTTAGAAGGCTCTGTTATTTCTGCTCCTTGGAAACAATGGGTTTGTTTAATCTCCTTCCCTCAGGTACGGACAAAACTTTGTAGCTGGCTTCAAACCAAGAGAACATGACAAAGGCGATGCTATTACTCCCATGATTATGTTACATTATATGGCACAAGTGAAGAGATATTGCAGAGATATTGGGGACCCTGATCAGTTGATGCTCAAATAATCAAGAGAGGTTATCCTGGGTGGCCCTGACCTAATGAGGTTAGATCTTTCAAAGGAGATGCTCTTTTGCTGGTATAGAAGATCCAAATGCCACAAATTACACAGCCACTAGGAAATTAATTTTGCCAATAATAACATGAGCTTTGAAGAGAAGCCCAAACCTCAGATGGACCCCAATCCCTGGTCCACACCTTGACCCCTGCCTTGTGAGATGGTGAGCAGAGGACTCAGGGAGGCTGGGCCCTGATACCTCACCCACACAACTGTGGGATTATAAGTGTATTGATGAGATCATGGAAATGTGTGAAGTAGCAATCCAAAATCAATATGCTAGCTGCATGCCCATAGGTAAGTTAGATAGCCTTTCTGTGCATTTGTAAAATGAAGAAGTAATAGTCAATTTTATAAATGTTAGCTATTATTAGAATCTTTACTTTGCCATTGAGGAAACTGAGGCTCAAAGGTGTGAAGTGATACCCAAGTTCAAATATCTACTCAGTGAGTTCCTTCCTTTTTATGCTAATGCACATCAATCTCTGTATCACCATTTCCCACTTCTTCTAGATTTCTTTTGTCCTTTATAACCCACTGAGTCACTGAGGTGACTCTGGACATGTACCTTCTCCTCACTCATTTCCTCATTTAGGAACCAGGGAAAGGAGCCTACATTCTCTTAAATTATAACATTGTTATTCTACAAATCTAACATTGTTATTCTACAAATCTCTTAAGTAGATCAATGAGCCCCTCCAGGCTATTTTTGGCCCAAGTCCAAGGCTGAGAAACCCTTCAAGGAAAGTCACTTATCTCTTCTCCCTCATTATCTGCACCATCCCTGGAGTTAACCTAAGCCCCAAGCCTGCAGGTTACAAAAATATTCAAGAAAGAAACGACCTGGAAAGAGCCAGAGCTTGAGTTGAACAATTCTGGCAGCAACCAACTGGGGATTACCACTTCTCAGTGATAAGAAGTTAACAAGAAAAAAAAAAAAAAGATATTAAGAGTTAAAAATGGGGCTAGAGTTGTGGCTCAGTGGTAGAGCACTTACCTAGAATATGTGAGGTACTGGGTTCAATTCTCAGCACCATATACGAATAAATGAATAAAATAAAGGTCCATCAACAACTAAAAATATTTTTTAAAAAAAGAGAGACAGAATAAAAAGGAAATACTGACTAGTCATTGATTAGGGTCTTGTAAAGAGTAGAATTATTTCTTTTAAAAGCCACTCCAAGCCAGGAGTGGTGGTGTATGCCTGTAATCCCAGAGGCTTGGAAGGCTGAGGCAGGAGGATCGTCCGTTGAAAGCCAGCCTCAGCAACTTAGTGAGGCCCTAAGTAACTCACCAATACCTTGTCTATAAAAAAATATTTTAAAAAAGGCTGGGGGTGCTGGGGTTGTGGCTCAGTGGTAGAGCACTTGCTTAGCATGTGAGAAGCCCTGGGTTCGATCCTAAGCACCACATAAAAATAAATAAATAAATAAAATAAAGTTATTATGTTCAACTACAACTAAAAATAAATATTAAAGAAAAAAAAGGGGCTGGGGATATAGCTCAGTGGTTAAGCGACCCTGGGTTCAATCCCTGGTACAAAAAAAAAAAAGAAGTTCCTCTGACCCATAACATAGAACAAATAATTTTAAATGTTGGAAACACAAAGACAATTATTCAGCTTCCAAACAATACTTTGAGAAGCACTATATTTGATAATGGACCACACAGGATTCTTAACAAAAGGCAAAGACAATGGCTTTTGAATTCATGGAAGGATAATGAAAAGATCACATATTTCCAGAAGAACCAGAAAAATGGGGGATGGTGAGGTTACAATTTCAGGAACATTAGCCCAAATCACACAGAAGCACTGGTCTGGTGAAAACCCCACCGCTATCTCTGTTGCCAAGGAGCAGGGGAGTCTGAAGCTTGTTCCACCAGTTTCCACAACTCTATCGGGAATTGTTGCCATGGTATCATTGTGCAGCTGCCTAGCATTTCTGCATGTCCCTAGTTTCTATCTCACAGAATGACATGGAGGTGTCTGACTGGTAGTGCCTAGGTCATATGCTTACAGCCTGGCTGCAGAAGCGATAGAATATCCTGACATCTCCAGCACTTTTCATTTCTAGAAGAGGATATGGGATGTGCCAAGTGAGAAAAGGGGGATTTAGGGCAGAGTGGCCCAAAACAATAAGCATGCACAAAAATAAACTCATAAAATGTAATGAGCTTCTGTAAGTCTAAAATGTTTAGTTCATCCTGAACACCTGAATGGATTAAACTATTATAGATAAAAAAAATTCACTATTAATTTGCACACATAAATTAATTTATTATCCAGTAATAATGAAAACCAATGCTTCCTAAATATAAAACGCAAGCACTTCCTAAATATAAAACATTGGTCAGTTGACTTTTTTTTTACTTTGCTGGGGACTGAACTCATAGCTTCGAGAATGTTAGGCAAGAACTGTACCACTGAGCCACACTTGTTTTATGAACAACTAATTATGTGACAACATCTAATCCTGACACTTCCAGTTGTAATATAAACAATTATCAAAATCAATATTATATACTCTGGATTGGAGACTCTCAAAATATGGCCCAAGTCTTTCCAGATCCTTTAGGGGAGTCTAAAAGGTCAATATTATTTTCACACAATTATTGAAACATTATTTGCTTTTTTAACATCAGTCTCTCATAGTTGTATAGTGGAGATTTCCAACAGTTAATGGAATGTTTACTGGTATACTCATTTAATATTTAACTTTAATACAGTAATAATAAATACATATAACCTACATAACAAAACTTTTCAGTATCTTTAGTAAATTTTTTAAAACTTTTTTTAGTAGTGGATGGACACAATACTTTTATTTATTTATTTATTTATTTATTTTTTTATGTACTGCTGGGAATCGAACCCAGTGGTGCCTCACACATGCTACGCAAGCACTCTACCACTAGCACAATCCCGGCTCTTTAGTAAATTTTAAGGGGACAAAAAGTTTGAAAACCCCTGCTCTAAGACCAACACTACAGACTCATCACGCAATGTTGAGTGAACCAGAAATAAAGTAGGCCATGAGACTAATAAAACAGGAAAAATGAATGGCAAGTATCACCTGCCATGTGTGCTACTAGAGTTTGCTAAAATAATTACAAAACTGAAGCAGTGAATACGGTAAGGGATACCTTACCTCATAGAAACTGCAACCCACAAGTGCAAAGCTTCCCATAATACCTATTCTTTCTTTCTGATTAAGTGCTTAATTTTTAGCTAATATATAGCTGCCCAACTAAAACCCACATTTTCCATCCTTCCTTTGAGTGAGGAATGGCCACATCACTAAATTCTGGGCAACAGGGCGTGAACAGAGTGGTACCATCTAGATCCTGCCCTGCAAAGAAAGGGCTTGGCCTTCTCCACCCACCCCTTCCCCTCCTGCCAGCTGGCATGTACACACAAAGGTGAAACATGTTGGGTCATGAGGATGAGCCAAGGCAAAACAAGAAGAAAAAAGGAGCACCTTAGTTTGCCTACACTCAGACCATTAGGAGAGAAATAATTTATATCTTATTTAATACTTCGAGTTGCTTTAGTCAACTGGACCTGTGTCCTGATAAAAGCAGCAGGTTTAACCTAGAAAGGGTGATTCAGAAGAGCCCACAGGGACTAGGGTCAGTACTGATAAGGAAAACACACATTCTCTACTGCCTCTGTACCTTTGCCCCAGGTACAGGAAGTAACAGAAATAACTCCTCCCTCTTCTCTCAGTTCACCTACATCCTGCCCAACCTTTATCAACATTTAAAACTTGTAAGATTTTCATATAAAAATTCAGATTTCCAGATTCTCCTAAAAGGGGTGTGTGTGTGTGGGGGGGGTTCTAGCACACACACACACACACACACCCAGGCCTAGGGCTGAGCACCTGAAATACTTAATTATTCCAGCAGTGGATCCACAAATAGAATGTCAAGCCTCCAATGAAGAAATGGAAGGCATTTTCATCTATGCTCTCCTCTTCTAGCAGGAGGAAAGGCAAACAACCTGAGTACCATGATTATAAGTAAAAGGTACTTCAGGAAAGGAAGTAATCCTTGTGACATTAACAGCACAGGAGAACTGGCACGAAGCTGGCAGAGCGTCTTCTCTAATTCCTCACACTTCAGCAACCAACATGGGGAAGACTGGTTGAAGATGACTTCAAGGGCTAAATATAAAGTGCCCAGTGCAATTTAGAGAATCAGAAATATACTGAAGCAGAAAGTCAAAGGCAGATGGAAAGTATTCAATGTCACGCAAGAATAAAATATAACTCCTTTTTCAAAGCAGAGGTCCAGTACACTATGGAAATGCCAAGTGCAAACTC